GACCATTTACTGAAAAATGTCTTCTCTGGTATTACAGCTAAATTTCTTATATTTCTCTTGAAAATACTGGAAGAAAGGTAGGAGAGTAATGCCCACTTCAGAAATGATCTTTCCTTGCAGAAAGATATGAGAATCAGCACACACACAAATCCTTTCTTCTTTCCATTCCACTGCACACAATCAAAACATTCAAAAAATCTGATTTCAAGACAGTATCAAAAGAATAAGTTTTATTGTTGACTTGAGTAGCAGCTGCCAATAGCACTCAACAAAACATTTTAAAAAAAAGAATTAGAATCACTGTGATTAGTGTGTTTTCAGGGCTATCATCTTTGCTTGCATTTATTAAAAAACAACAAAAAACAAAAACCACCAAGATGCTCACTGAGCTGAGAGGAATTATGGGGAAAGTAATATGGGAGGACAAAGTGTAGCAAAGTTATGAGTGTTTAAAGAATTCCGGAAATGTTTTCATTTTGATTCCCATTATAATTAGGTTGCTGGCAGATAGAGAGAATGTAAATCATATCCTAGCAGGAGACAGACACTGGGTTCTCCAAGATACATAGCCTGCTGAAAAGACAGCTGCTTTTATCCTGGGGAGGTGACAGCCTGACTTTGTGTGTTGTAGGATTTAAAAAATAAATTAATATTTTATTGTGTACTGTTCATTACAGCTTCTCCACTCCACAGGCAGCGAGGAATAAATGAAACCATGATTAAGTGGCAGTCAGGTCCCAGGGACCTATTGAGAGCAGAGCTATTTACCTCGTAGGGGAGGGTTTCTAATCTGTGGAGGACACAATAGCAGAACCCTAATTGTAGCAGAGACTTAAAAAGCCCGAGATGATGATTTTGGGAGGACTAGCACTGGGGGCCTCATTTTTTCTTGGAATCAGTTGATGGATGCTACTGCAACCAGACTTAAGAATTCATATAGCCTTCCCTGTCCTCTCACACATACCTGGCTTCATAAGCAATAGGGCTGTAGCATAGAGCTACATAAAATCTCATAAAATGTAACCCTCCAGAACCACAACCAACAGGATTTAAAAATCTATACATAGGATTTCATCCCATAGCTCTGGATCCAATCTTGAACTCATAGCATCCAGAAAACGTATCTCATGTGGCTGGTTGGTATCTGATAGAGGAAATATTCTAGGTACTAGATAACCTCCCAGGCTTGGTACCTTCCTGGGACATTCCACCCTTCCCAGAAGCAAATGGGAATGTTTCTTAGGAGAGTAAGCCTTGGGTACCAATTGGAATTTGTTGATTCCCAGATTCCTGACTTGGAAGTTAGACAAAGGGAGAGAGGAATAAGAAGAAAAGGATACCAGAGGTCTTCTATGTATGAGGTTGAATGGTGACAGGGAGATTTCCAGTTGCAGAAGAGACCCATGAAATGTGTCAGGAATAGTCCTGAGATTTTCTATCCCACAGTAGCTCTGTTAGTTCCTGTCCACTAAGTCCTAATGCAAAGCCATTCTGTATTCTCCGTACCCAGTATGTCAGTGCACATGAGGTTCAAGCAGGCGAACACAAACCCTCCCCAAAGTGCTTCCATCCGATGCCTGGGAGCAAGCACAGCATGGCCATTAAGGCAAGCACAGTCTGTAGTCACACAGCTGGGAAATATCCATGGTGACAAGGGCAAGAACATTGGTGGTAGGGATGATAGAGAGAGAAGAGGAATGAAGCAGAAAGCCATTTGTGGATAAGAAAAATGAAATGGAAATGAAAACTCAGTGGCAGGCCTCCTGGTACAGGGAAAAGTAAATTGTTTCTCAGCCTTCCAAGACTCTCTAGAATTATGCTCAATTACAGAAGGCAAATTTATACATGTTCACAACCTCTATGCCAGGGGTCCTCAAACTACGGCCCGCGGGCCACATGCAAATACAAATATTGTATTTGTTCCCGTTTTGTTTTTTTACTTCAAAATAAGATATGTGCAGTGTGCATAGGAATTTGTTCATAGTTTTTTTTTTAAACTATAGTCCGGCCCTCCAACGGTCTGAGGGACAGTGAACTGGCCCCCTGTTTAAAAAGTTTGAGGACCCCTGCTCTATGCAATCCAGCCCATTCCAACACTACAGCGTGTTGGGTTTCCTGTAAGCCAATGCCCTTTGGCTTTACCTGGCCCTGTTGCATCCTCTGAGTTTGGCAGGCACTTAACTCCTCAACGCCTTCTCTACCCAAGAAATCCCTGGTGTTGGAATTATTGTTTCAATGCTGCTAAAAGGTTATGTTTCTTTGACCTGGATTTTTATCTCAAAGCATTAAACTTAATAGTTACTTTGGACTGAGTCACTTGCATTAGATCCAGTGAAGTGACACCCTTAAACCTATAAAGATTAATACAGAGGAATTTACATGAATGTTAGTGCTTGTTTTAATAATATCCTACTGTTCAATTTGGACCTGTACTGCTGTCTGGGAAACAGACACATAGGTCTACGACATCCTAAACAAAATCTCCATCCATAGAAAACATCCTTCCGTGCGCAAAGATGCTGAATGTGCCCCCTAAAATCATTCAGGGCTGTGAGAGATGCTATTGTTCCTTTGAATGCACTAAAACTGTGCATAGAGAGGCAATTCCCAAGGTAACAAAAAGTATGAAAAGCAAATAGGAATGTACGGCCCTGTCTAATTTGAAAATTCTGTATTTTAGAAATTGAAAGGGTTGGCAGTTCAACTTTTTTTCTAAGTCTTATGATGCAGTGAAGGTTTTTCTCTTTGTGATTTGGTTTGTTCCCATTCTGACAAGCTGGTATGTCTTGTGCAAGATTTTTTTTTTAACTTAATGAATGCTACAAGGATGAAAAGGTTAAAAAAAACACAACCGCAAAGGGCTGTGCAGGTGATGTTGATGGACAGAATGAAGAAGTTTGAAAGCCTCCCGTGACTCCAGATCAATATGAGTCCACCAGAAGCCTTTTCAGAGTTAAGGAAGTGTCCCGTCACTTGAAGCACAGGGACTCTGACTTCAGAAACTATGGTAGACCAGCTGGCTGCACATGATGACAAACCTTACTGGGAATTTCCGTAGAATTCAGTGGCACAGTCACATGTTAAGAGATCTTTTTATGCTAAGCAATTACTCCCATTCCATAAAAGTTATCCAAGGAGACTCTAAGCCATTTTGCAATTTTTAAAAAAAATTATATATAGAGTTATGTGAACAATAATATATATAAAAGTATCTTTATATACTTATGAAAGGATTCTAAGGAGCATTACCCTTTCTTTGCCTCTCAATTTATAATTTCTTCTTCACATCTTGCCCAATTCATTTGACAGCAAGCAATATTTTCATGATGTAAACCTCTTGTTCCCACCTGGTCAGCCATAGCTCTCTACAAGTCAAAATCACCTTGAAGAGGTTTCTCACTGACATCCGGTTCATTAGTTGCTGAACATGATTAAAACAATATATTATAATGAACTGATTTTTAATAAAAACAAATCAACAAACAAAGCTTGCTCTAAGTTATTAAATTACCACCTTCCACTTAAGTCAAGCAACCATTTGAACATGAGAGAGGCGACATGTCACATTACCTGAGTTGTAAGCTGTCTTTCTCCCACCAGTTAGAAACATGCAAATTTATGCCAATATGTTCAATCCCCTGTGTGTAGCCCAAACGGTTACATTTCTCTGACAGTTCTGAGATTATATCCATACTTTTAAAGGAGGGGGAAAGTCAAGAGGACCCTCTTCAGCTTTTGTGAAACGCTTGCTGGTTAAAGCAAAGCTATTTCGTTAGAAAGCCATTTGGCCAGTACCTGGCAAGCAGTGAATGGTTTAATTCTCCAGAGGAATGGGGGGATATCAAGGACAGAGATCTGAAGACTAAAGGTATTCCCTTTGAAATGCAGCAACTTTGGTTCTTCCAGTAGCTGTCCACCTTGATGCCTTTCATCTGACACCACTTCCTATAGGACAGGGAGAGAGAAGAGGCACAACAATGAAGTATCCAGTTGTCTCTGCTTTTCCTTCCATAGATGTGTATGCTCACTACCAAGTATCGCCCAGAAATAGACAAACAGCCTGATGGTTGCAGTCCTCCTTTACCCTCTGTACCCTTGTGAGGTCAAGACTAAGGATTAAAAGCTGCTACTAGGATTTGGGCAGAAAGAAACAGTTGTTGGTTATGTTGCTTAGGCTTTTGAACACTCTATGCCTTTCTTTAGAAGACCTCCATTGCACTAAGCAAATTTTAACACTGTTGAATTTCCACAATTGTATGAATTTCATTCTGATATGACTATAATCCATATGTCAGGTTAGGTACAGAAACATCCCATCATATTTCACAATAAAGGTAGAAACAGCCCCCTCCTCTCTGGTTCACTTGTTGGTTACTAACATAGGTATTATCCACATTTATTCTTTGTCTCAAAACAGATGTTACAGAGTGCACATGTCATGTTTATTTGTACTAATATTCATAAAAGTTATGCCAAAGGCCAAGTTATGCCGAAGTTATCAGTCAGTTTTAGCTCAGAAAAAAAAAAATCAAAATTCTGTGATAAGTATGCCTGCATCTTTCACTGAGAAGTCGTTATAAATACATTTCATGCAAACACAATGCACATACATCCTATTGAGTAAACCATTTAATTGGTTCCAAATTTGTGTTCTTCAGAAACATTGGAAAGGTGATATAGTAAGTGAAATAATAGCTATGATTTCTGTAAAATTTTAAACCACCATGGGCTGAGGCTTTTCCTGTTACTAGAGATAAGAGACCTCCCTAAACCTATTTTTAAAAACCACCATTAATTTAGTTATAATTTTCTTACAAAGCTAAGATAAATAAGAAAGCTGAAATCCTTTAATTATGTTCTGTAATCTTCCCAGATTCTAAAAAAGATTGTAAGAAGTCAAGCAAATAGGTTTATAAATACAGTATAAATACATTTTAACTATAAATATAACGTTCAATTATCAGTGAGTAAAAGCTGCTCTGAAGGTGATCTTTATCTCTTGTGTATGTATAAAATAACATTAATAAAAACGTTTCTGACTAAGAAGCAGCTGCCCATGTGCATATAAATAGGTTGTAAGTATCTTTTGTTAGGACTAAGTGTTTCAATTCTGATGTCATTTTCTCCAGCTCTTTTATCTTGTTCTGGGAGGGTGTTTCTGGGCCCCCTAGGTCTTACTCAAGTTTATTCATAAGCTTCTAATATGGTATTTATTCACTAGGCACCGTGGCATTCAGCACTTGAAAAGTGGCTAGTGACGAAGGAATTGAATATTTCATTTTAATTACGTTAAATGTAAAGTCCCACAGGTGGTTAGTAATTACTGGACCTAACAGTGCTATGCTAAGTGATTCCTTATGTTCTGGATCTAAGACTTGGGTAGAACAACATGGTAGACGGTATCTGATTGGGGCCTCAAACCGTGGGAAGAAAGTGGCAGGGTGGGGAGAAAGGGAAATTCATTCCTAATGCTGACTTGAGGTCTTTCATAGATGCTGGCTACTGATTCCTTCTTTTGAGATTAATGAGTGTCCACTGGAGCTATGCTTGAGCTGGACTTTGGGTGTCCAGAAATGAACTGTCTCTGCCACCAAGGAGCTCACAGTCTAGTGAGAGCATCAGAACAGTAGGCTAATATTATCACAGTACATGTGCAATACATGTGGATAGCACAATACATGTGTGCCTAGAAGTTAAGGCAAGACAAAGGGTGCCTAACCCAGATAGGAGGAGAGGTCAGATAGAGGAAGTGCTGTTTGAGCTGAACCTTAAGGTAAAATAAGGCCTAGCCAGAGGAAAAGGAGGGAGAGTGCCTTCTGGACACTGGGCAGGGTTTGCACAAATGCGTGGAGGCAAGACTGAGCTGGAGTAGAAGGTGAGGGTGGAAAGTGTGTGGCTGGAGATGATGACCATGTAGGGCAGGGACCAGATCATGAATTCTTGCTTGCTATGCTAAAGACCTGTATTAACATTGATCAGGGTTTCAGGTGCATAGGAATCTTCTGGGGGTTACATATTCTTCTAAAGAGTTCTAATCTTGTAACCCAAAATGGAAACACAAGATTCTAATCTCATTTCTGTGTGGTTTTAGGCCTCAGTCCCTTACTTGAGTTTATTCATAGCTAAGCAAAATAATTAGCATGATAATATACTGACCTCTTTTTGCAATTCCGGTGCAAGGTTAGAAACAAGTACAAATAAAACATGTGCTTTTTAAAACCATATTTAAGCTGCAGAATTACAAGCATCGACTCTTCAAGGTATATTTGACCAGTTTTTCTACAGTGCACCCCTTTTCTTTAAATCTATCTTGCCTGGATGTACAGAGAAGTAAACCGAGGTCAGCAGATGGAATGATTTCTTTGAGATCATGCATTACTTAGTGGAGAGCTTGGCTATTTTAATATTTCAAATCTATGTAGATTTTTCCCACCAGAAGGGAACTTTCAAGTTTTCAATCACTAAGTACCTATTTACAGGTGAAAACATGCAGATCCCCATCCCCCCTTAAAGCCACATGGTTAATGACCAAGTTAAGACTAGAATAGGGAACTTGTTCATTGTCCAGTATTTTTTCTACTAGATTTCCCTGCATTTCCCTATGTTATGCTTGATTTTTTTAAAGAAAGAAATAATGTGGTCAGACTACTATTAACCCTGTTCCATAAATAATTTTTCATTGGTAAGATATATGTAAAGATGATACAAGTCAGTCTGTATTAGTTCTAGGGTTATATATACTAAGTAGTCCTTGAAATACAGAGTGGAGAATAGAAAAAGAAAAAAAAGATATAAAAAAAATGGATACCTACTTATAATTATCACAGAGGAAAATGGTACCTTTTAAAAGTTTCTGCTCTAGGCTCCAAATTTAAATACAACCATGATTTATGTTTGCTTTTTTTTTTTTTTTTAACCTTCCATGTATTGAACCGACCGTATACAATTAACAGTGTCTCCTAATCTTGCACAAAATAGTAAGCAATTACAGTAAAAAAAGAATTAATTATTAATTATTAAAATGAAGAAGCCCAATAATGAACTAATCCTTGCATTTATATATTTGTAAAGGCACAACTGGTTTCATAATTAAAGAAATAAATACTGAGTATAAGCTTTAAAACACTCTTCAAATAGAATAAACTGTACTTAACAGTTATGCCCCTAGCTAACTGTATTCTTCTCAGGGGCCGGGCCTGGACATCTGGATTTTTAAATGCTTCTCAGCTGGTTCTGAACCCTGGTTGGGTTTGGGAATCGGTGATACAAATAACTCTGCTGAGCTAGTTCTGAGTCATCCATAGGGATGCATCACCCAGGAGCGGGGCCTGATGTTCATGTGTTTTTTTCCTATCTGCTTCCTACATAACATGGACCCTCTGTTAAATCTATTGTAAAATTGATATTTGCATTAATTAAACTAGAAAATAGGTCTGACCAGTTTCTTCATATGTAATATGTCACTAAAGGCTCTGGGTGATGTTTTTCCAGTCTCTGCTTCATCATTTCACATTGGGAGTTGCTAGTCATCCGGTTCTAGGAGTTGTGGCCAAGAAACTTGTGCTCTGTGCCTCACTGAGCTCTTTATGATGATTTAATGAGACAAGCAACAAAATTCAGGTGTGCTTCAGGGATAGGAAAACAGGCAGACCAGATTTACATATTTATGAGACAAAACTGTTTGAACTTAAGCACACACACACACAGAAAAATTATGTTGCTGTGGTGTTTTCCTTTAAATGCTTTACATGAACAATATTTCCCAAGGTTGCATTATTGATAAATACAAGAACTACATCTGGAGGAAATCCTTTGAAATTAGATTCTAAATCCACATTAATGCCAAGTAAGTAATGAGTACCAAGAGGTACTGAATGGGAGTGCTGGGAACAGCAGAGAAAAAAAAAAAACAAAACTAGGTTTTTTTCTTTTTTTCTTTTTCCTTTCTAAGATAGGGCAAGTGCTTAATTCCTTCCTTTCTCTGTGTTAAGGTTTGTTTGAGCTGTGAGAGAGAAGGGGGGTGGGGGGAGAGAATACAATAACAAAAACTTAGTTCTTAAAATGTTACTGCTTTGAAAAAAGATCACCATTCCTCAACCTCTGCTTTGAATTCATCAAAGGAGGTGATGCCAAACACAGAGACATAAAATGTCAGCTCTAATTAGTACAGAAACACAGCAGTGGGAAGGACACCAAGTCATTAGGCCCTTCTCACCCTCTTCTCACCTTCAGGCAGATGGCATTTTTGTTTTTAAGGACCATACCAGAACTGATGTAATTTTCATAGAGATGTTTTTAGATGTATCTATCGCAACAGATCTAAAACTAATTGAATTATGTTTTGCCAAGGTGTTTGAGGCATTTGTTTTTGTTATTCAAAACTACTATGATTCAGATAAAATACCCGCAGAGCAAATGAGCAGCAAGAATAGTAGCTCTGCATGCAGGAGGTATAGGGGAGGAAGGTGTGGCTGAAAATGGAGCATGTTTCTGTTTGCTTACTAAAATCCTCTACAGGAATATATTTTTGGTGGGACCATTATCTTGCCAGAGATCCTCACCTAGCTCTAAGAGGACTGGCAAGTGGGGTCTGGAAACGGTGGGCTTTTAAAGGATTTTATGGGACATAATTTCCCCGTGAGATCTGAATGCCAGGAAGAATGAATCATGCCCCTTAACCAGACTTCTTTCTTGGTTAAGAGCACAGGTCTAGTTGGGCATGTATTTGTTACCATTTCTTTTAGATATAAAAAATGCACCATAATAAATATGGCGACTGTACACCCACACTTGTATCTATTTCCAAATCACAAGAAATGTTTCCATTATAGTGGTAACTGAGGCAAATTCCTGGATAGGCAATTTCTGTAGAAATGCTTCACGAAAAACTACACATTAATTTTGATGAAGAAGTCAGGGTTCTATCAGCATTGTAGAAAATGAGTCACCACCATATACAATATTTTCAGCTCACACCCTCAAGTCGGGGAATTAATGTGTGAAGTCTTTCAGAGGTTCAACAAGTGAACTGATGCTAAGGCTTTCTTAAAGGGGGACTGTTTTAATGGGTTAGTAACTATATAATACTCCCCTCTAATTAAATACCACATATGAAGCCATAAGAAAGATTATTTGGGATATTAAGGTTGTTTGAATGAACCCGTGTAAAAAGGCGTGAACACATGCACTTAGCAAGGTAAGAATCCAGAAAGCAAGATTCTTTTAGAAGCAACACCCAGAGACTAAGGCCAGGGAGTAAAACAGTTGTGTTCAGAAAAGCTAAAAGTTATATTTCAATTGTTCCGTGAGTCAGAAAAGTTATTCAACCAAGGCCAATGCTCTCTCAGAACCCCAAGGGCGGAGCATGTCCTTTGCTGCTCACAACAGCTGTCACATTCATCCTGTCAGTAACATGTACAACCAAACCCAAGTTTAACGTCAGCTTCATTCGACATAACAGGAGCAGGGAAGAATCGCTGGAGGTACATAGATTACAAAAAATGGGGTCAAAGTTATTTCCCCTGAAAAACATTTCTCTAACGCAAAATTAAAGAGTTCGAAGAAACATCTCTAAGTGAAATTAAGGTACTTGGATTCAATTTAGAGGGAGAATACCTTTTTTCCTAGCATTGACTAAGAAGAGTATATTACCCACAGGAGTGGATAGTGGTTGGGAAAGCTGTGTTCAGGGCCTCATTCACATTCTTCTGTGAACAGTTGAGCTGTTGTGGAATCTGGTAGCAATCAACGGAAATAAAAATAGATTATCTGGAAAGTCTATTGGAATAAACTCTACAGGCAAATGTTTAACTTACTGGTATACACAACAGCAGTGAGACCATTATTCAAAGAAAATTCCAAATTGGTTATGAAGGCTGACTTCCAAGGCGGCTGTGACAAACAGATCCTCATAATCGTACCAGGCGGCAGTGGGCTATGCACATGAGCCAGAAGACTGGAACTGCTCCATGGCCCTGCCCGCACCCCTCAGCTTACTCAGCCTTTGGAATCTGGCTGAGTTACTATACTAAACATCCAACTTGAGTTATGGTGCATTTTATAATTGTGAAGTGATGGTAACACTCTCAATACATCACTGAATGTCTTATGTAGTTTATCGTGGAGAACTCCTTTTCCTAGAGGTGGTGAAAGCAGATGACATGCGTAGAATGCCAATCATAGGATGAGGTGTAACTACTTATGCTGAAGTTCTTTACACTACAAAATGGCACCCCTATGAACAACCTTTTATGTGTAGCCAGCTATTAAGTGTGCCCTTGACCTGTGCTACCTAAGAGATAGGGAAGGTTTGGAAATGCAAGTTGGTACTGTCATCTTTACTGGCTATGTTCAGGATTCAGGTCATTGTATCCCTTGTCCTGGCAAACATGAGTTTTCCAGCTCAGTGTCTTAAACGCTAGTTAGAGGCAGTGCTCTGCATAATGGACTTAATGACCCAGGACTGGACTGGCAGGAATCTGGGATGAGGTGTGTTGAGAGAGCTATGCTACTTATGTGTGGGCAAAGCTTACACAGGCACTTCTGCACCATCCTTTCTGCTATTAATAAATCCACACTCTGTGAGTAGCTAATTTAAGATAAATCTTACATGATTAAAAAGTGTCAAAAGTGGAAAGGAACCTTGACCATCTCTGCCCTAGTAGCCCTGATAATTAATAGACTATGATAGGTATGATTAATAATTGTTGTTTTCTAACTACAACCTTCGGTTAATTCAAGCAATTTTCTCCTTGCCCTCTGCACATCAAATAACTCGTGTCTGTAGTTCATCCCATTCTCCATTCTTGATAGGGTAACCATTTCTCTTTTGCTCCTAAATTTCATCCATCCATGAAAGTTCACAAAGAGGTCTCTACAACTCCTTTCCAGTTCCTCTATTGAACTGGGTCTTCATTTTCTGAATTCCGACTTCACTTCTAGTCAGTTTTACAATTTAGCGCACAATGCTTTAAATTAACCCTTCTCTTTTCTGACTGCCAGGTACCTAAGCGCCTGTTGGACACACACACAGTAAACACAGCTCTCGCTTCAAGATAGGTATCCCCATCAGGCCAGTGGCGTGGGTTCATTTTCCAGACCTTCAGTAATAGAATTCTCTATGGATACTGATCTTTAAGAAACCCCATGCTTTCATGACACCAAAAGAATTATAGAGACAGAGCTGACCTGAAATGCACAAGGGGTATTGTCCACACAGTAGACTCTCAGGTTGTAATCCAGGGAGTTGCAGGACATGCAGCCGAAAACCGCCACCTTGAGTTGCTTCACGGCACAGTCTGTGATTGGTTCTCCAGTGAGGGCATATGTCCCAAAGCTGTCTAGGAGCACATGACATGCAAAGGGGTCCAACAGGCAGTAACAGGATGTGGATTCATCCTCCACTGACATCACCTCCTGTTGGGAAAAGATGCGTTAAATTCTCTCGGTTTAGAAATAAAAGATGTGATTTGATTTTAACAATTACTTTCCAAGGACATAACTAACCAAACAAACATTTTCAGAATTAGGGCATTTTCATTGCCCTAATTTTCTTCTTCTTCTTTTTTTAATCCTCACCCAAGGATATTTTTCCTTTGCTTTTTTAGAGAGACTGGAAGAGAGGGGAAGACAGAGAGAAATATCAATGTGAGAGAAACACACTGATTGGTTGCCTCGTACACCAGCCCTGACAAGGGGCTGGGCTGGGGAGGAGCCTGCAACCGAGGTATGTGCCCTTGACCTGAATCGAACCTGGGACCCTTTGGTCTGCAGGCCAATGCTCTATCCACTGAGCAAAACTGGCTAGGGCTGCCCTAATTTTCTTGATGTTAACTATTCTTCTGTCAAAATAACTGTTTACCTCAGAAACTCAAGAAAAGGTTATATTCAGTATTGGAATTCTACTTAATAGATTATAACAAACATTGTTTTCAAAGTTCTCCTATTTTTGGTTAATTTGTTCAATGCCAAATTTAAAAAAATGTCTTAAACATTAACATCAATAAGTAAACATTTATGTTTTTAAAAAGGGTATTTCTGAAAATATCTTTTTTTTGTTTTGTTTTAAAATATATTTTATAGATTTTTTCCAGATAGAAAGGGAGAGGGATAGAGAGTTAGAAACATTGATGAGAGAGAAACATCAATTCAGCTGCCTCCTGCACACTCCCCACTGTGGATGTGCCCGCAACCAAGGTATATGCCCTTGACCAGAATCGAACCTGGGACCCTTCAGTCCGCAGGCCGACGCTCTATCCACTGAGCCAAACCAGTTAGGGCTGAAAATATCTTTTGCTATCCTTAAGGTACTATATATATTTTTCAAATATTTTATCCTCTTTCATTTCACCAAAATCATTCACGAGGAACCATTAAATAAGTAGTTTGGATAAGATGTACTAAGAATATATCACTTTCTCTGATAAGAATTTAGGTCCATGTGTGGCTGGTTTGGTAGAGCATAAATCTAATACCATCTGGATGTAAAAGATTGTGAGGAAGTGCTGAGAAGAGAAACTAAAGAGGAGGAAATCAGGCAAAGCAAAACTTAATAAAAAAGAGACCCAAACCTGGCCCAGTTAGGAAACCCATGGAACTTCATGCCCCAGGAAATTTGCCTGTGGTGTATGAGGACTGAATAAATAGCAGATTGCATTTCCAACCGAGAATATAGACCAGTTTGCAGACAGAGCTGGGCAGAGTAAATGTAATCTACTGCAGCAACTGGCATTTTTCTTCTCATAGGGAAACACGATTTTCCTTTTACTTCTCTTGCTGGAAGTACCTCCTGGGAGGTCCAGTCCCAGGGCTAGCTGGAACAGGTCATTGTGTTCCAACAAGATAATTCACCTGCTTTCATGCAAAGTGACTTCAGAGGGACATAAAAGGAATCCCTATCAGACAGATAAATCAGAGGTTTCACTTAGAACAGTAATTCCACTGCAATCTTTCTTTGCTGTGACGGTCTCCCTTGCTGTTACCCTTGTCTCGTGTTTCCTCACTGTCTGTTCTAATGCATTCGTTAATTCACCAAAATATATTTAGCACCTATTGCATTCCTGATTACTTAAACATAGGTTTATTATAATCTCTCTGATGATAAAACAGATACAGTGATTTTATATAATCCCTATTTATATAATCCCATATAATCCCTATGATGACAAAAACAGATATAGTGACACAGTTTTATGTCCCAAAGAGAGGTACATAAGGATATATCTCTGTGGGTAATTACAACTGTATTCTAAAACTGAACAAAAATAGCTTGGGATTCTCTCATCTCTTTTCCATTATCCTGGAAAACCACTAGCCAATACCTTCAGGGGGTTATAAAACACATGTCACCAACCCTCTGAAAAACAAGAAAATGCTCACAAATTTCACAGCTGACTCTTGGTATTAAGAGAGCATAAGGTTAAATCTGTCCTGTAGGTGTAACCCAAATCCTGGTTTTCAAAAAAGGAAATATAGAGTCTCACCTCCCACGTGCCCTGCTGTGTCCTCTTCTTTAAATGGATATTCCAGTGCTCAGAACTGACGTCTGCACAGTGTGGTATGGTCAATGCAAAGGGCGTGGTGACGATCATGTCTGGGGGACCACAGGTGACTTCCGGACTCAGGAGCACCTCGGATCCATCGGACTGGAGGCTTTACCATGGGGAAGGGGTGAAAGAGAGAGGCATGTAAAGGAGGGGGCTCATTTGAATGAGAATTTAGTTACAGGAGGGGTGAGGGAGGGGAGTCGGGGGTTCTCTTCAGCCCAAGCACAGTCCTTTCCCAGCATTCCTCCTGGACAGCACCCCACATGTGGAGGGCTGGGCTGGACCACAGACATTCATCCGACCTGCTCAGGCACCCAGACTGGGCTGCAGCCTAGATTTCAAATCTGGGTTCTGACAAACAAAATGACAAATGCTTCTGCAGAAATAAAGGGCAGAACAGAAGAAAGCAAAGATGTGACCAGTGTGTCACACGCCAGCTATGGAATCCTTATTCTTGTTGATAACATTGTCAGTTACCAAAGCCAAGAACGTTATAGAAATGACTAATCTTAGCATCAGATTCCTTTCTTCTAACATATTCTACAAATATTTTTAATGCTAGTAGAGGCTAAAACAAAGTATTATGAAACAAAGCAACACCTGAAACACACCCAAACTGAGTATGTCTCTTCTGGTTTTAAATACATTTAATTTTTACCAATGCGTAGTGATAGCATAGTAAACAGCCCATTATCAATGTGCATAATCAAATATATATCTTTCAACTCTTTCCTATTTTAGATCTAAATTTAAAATCATTTTACCCAAAGCTGGTGTTTAGATTGTTCTGTATTGTGAATTATTTACGGGAATGCAGAGTCATGAAACAGATAAAAGAAAGTGAAGCTTAATTAAAGGGAGATAATACCAGCTCAGTGAATGCCTCTCTCTTTCATTTTCTGTCTTTTGTTTTTAATCTCTGTCCCCAAACAGGCAGGGACTGTTATAGGACAGTGGTCAATGAGGAGACCCTAGAAGCCTACCCATGCCCCCCCACCAGACGCTTATGTATTTTTGAACAATATTTAAATTTTTTGACACATTTTCCCTTGTAGGAGATATAGTGACACAGTAGATAGCCAGTAAAGTAATTGAGGACTCTCAGCATTTCTCCTGGACAAAGGTACCTGAGAGCTGGGCTTGGGCTTACCCAGGCTTTCTCTTACCCAACCCAGAAAGGACATTTAAATATATCACCCCTGGTCAAAACAGCAACCTCTTGAGCAAGATAAAGATGAAAATCAGTACTCAAAGATACCACCTTTTCTGTGATCTTGTATAAACAGTTTTTCCATGAGTACATCTAACATGTTATTAGTTTCTGACTCGCTCTGTTCACATCGGTTGTTCTTGCTCAGGTTAGTAATGGTCACACTCTACTTCATTATCTCTAATTTGCTGCTGCAATAAAAGCCAAGGCATATAATTGAGCAGAAACATCTTTCATCTACTGTATCTAAAACAGACCTGAACGTATCACACAGTCTCTCTTCTTCCCCATGAAGCACCAGAGACGACTTCAAAAAATTCAACCTTCCATGTAGCCAACCATTGTCCAAAGCTGACCATTCTTTCTATACAAGCAAAGCATAAGGTACCTGAAAATATATCTGCATTTACCTTTAAGCAGGGTAGGCAAGCTATGGGCTGGGTTTAGAGAGTGGTGTATTAGCAATAACAAATGCTCTATAAACATCCTATGAATATACTTGAGGTTTGAAAAAAAAAGGAAAATGCCAATGTGAGCTGCAACCAGCACGGAGTGGCAGCCTGCGTGTGGATGCCTGCCAGGGCCATTAGAGAGGGCTAAGCGCTTTCCCCGTAATTGCCGCCTGCATCCGTCACAGACAGGAATAGCAGAGATGCTTATGAGTGACCGATGACAAGCTCTCCTAAAAGAACTACTTAATTGCTTTCAGAGAATCATCCCCCTTGTTGAACATATTGTTCAAACATATGGGAATTTGGGGAATTATTTAATGCCAAATGAACTGAAATCAGCTAATTAGATGAACTCTCACACTCGTGAATAGCGAGGCTCCTTTCTGTAATAACTTAAACAGCATTAGGAGTCACAGGCGGTGCACATCCAGTACAGGCACTGCGTGGATCCGGAGCTTTGTGTTAGGCAGGCATCATGCATTTCCATACATGGGAAGGGAGTAAATCAAGATTTATATCTAATCACCCCACTGTGAAGCAGTGTCTGGATGTAGGTTTCTCTAGTGAAGGAACAGAATTTAAATCTCTCCATCCCCTCCCCCCCATGATTAATAAAACACTTGCCCTTTTCTGCTACCTTTTATTTGCCGCAATCAGGGAGATTTACAAAATATTAATTAAAGCTCTTCACACACCTGGGGAAGCAGGTGTGGACAGCAGAAGGTCACAGAGAAGTTGATTAAGGCAATGGCAGCAAAATATCCCTACATTTCTACTCACAGGCTCCTGCTCTCTGTGACCAGATATACTGCCCTCCTCTGTTACCAGTAGGAGATTTCTGGTCCAATTGCTGGCTCCTGTGACATCCAAGGCAAGATGGGGGGAAAGCATAGTCTGAGTGTAGTCATGGATACAGACTTAGGGCCTTTGAGGACAGAGGGCTGGGGAGATTTAATTAGGCCTGTGCATAAATGAAGATTCATAAGGAAAGTATGGGTGGCATTTAAGTTTTCCCACATTATATAGTACATGTCAAGAAAGTAGCCATGCTCCTGCTAGAAGAAAAGGTGACAGTTTTCTAAAATTGCTGTGAGCTAATAATAACTGTGAAATAATAACAGCAGCAATTTCAAGAGCATAATATGAACCACTTCAGGGCATCACATACCATAGTGTAGATAGAAAAGTCTGGTTGTGTAGACTTTTGCTACTTATCCTTTTCATTGTGTTCTCGTGTTTCTCTCTCTCTCTCTCTCTCTCTCTCTCTCTCTTTCTCTCTCTCTC